CAGTGTCACTGGCCCTCATATGTGGGATCCGAACCGGGGCCCTCTGGCATCCCAAGCGAGTTCTTAACCATCGCGCCACTCGGCCGGCCCTCACTGGCTTTTTAAAGTTCAAAGTGCTCAAAAAAATGTTTAACCTAAACTGAATCATGAGATAGTTAGGAAATACATCTGCCTTTCTGATTCTAATAGTTTTTGAGAAACACAAATTTAAACACAAAATACTTAATTAAAAAAATCCAGTTACTTTAAAGTGCTGAGAGGTTGGACTGACTTGTGACAGTGAGAGAGTGGTGTGTCCCAGCATGAGGAATGGGGGGTCCTTCAGTCCACTGTCAGCCCCTGGGGGGGTCCTCACATCCTCAGGGCAGGTGCCAGGGCAGAGAAGAGCTGTAGCAGCTGAGCTTGCCGGCTGCATCCTGACTGCTCACAAACCACGGCCAGAGGTTTCAGAACAGAAACTATCACCGGCTTTGCAGGCACAGCCCAGAGGTGGCACTTAGTAAGGCCAGAAATGCTGATACAGGTTGGGAAGAAGCCTTAGGTTCAAGGGAGGCTGAGCATATTAAATAAAATATTATGTTGCTGTTTGGAAAATGAATTTAGAGGCTCTGTCTAGTGCCAGCCTTTTTTGGACAAAATTTTTTTTTTTTTATTGTGGTAAAATATACGTAACATAAAATTTACCATTTTATCTTCCCAAACTGAAGCTGTCCCCGTTAAACACAGAGGGTCCAGGGGACTCCTTCCACGTCCTTCCTGACTCCAGTCGCCCAGGACCTTGACTGTGGAGGCTGCACGCGCCCCTTGCCTGTGAAGGGCAGCCAGGCTCTTTGGGGGTGATTCAAATGCATAACCAGAGTTGAAATAATTTCTTAAACCTTAGGCAGAGCCCAGCATTTCACCACATGGGGTTTGGAGCCTGCCTTAGGGGTAGACATATGGAGGATTTTGGCACATCACAGACCCGTCTTCTGTTTCCACCTTTTGAATAATTCTGTGTCATGAATTTCCCTGCAGATATGAACAGGACCTTCCCGGACAATGTAAAATTCCGGAAGAGTGCAGATCCCTGTTTACAAAAGACCCTGTACAATGTGCTGTTGGCTTACGGGCACCACAACCAAGGTGTGGGGTACTGCCAGGTAAGCCCCCAGGAAAGTGAAAACGATCGACACCCCACAGACTTACAACAGGGACACGCTCCAGGTGTACATGAAGTATTCTTTATCAATCCAGTTTATCAACTCCCTAAGTCATAATACCTGCACAAGCTGTGACTTTATTTCCCAGTTATAAAAGCAGGAAAACGTCTATTTAATGATTTTTTTTTTTTTTGGAGGGCAGTGTCACTGGCCCTCATATGTGGGATCCGAACCGGGGCCCTCTGGCGTCCCAAGCCAGTTCTTAACCATCGCGCCACTCGGCNTCTGGGGTCCCAAGCCAGTTCTTAACCATCGCGCCACTCGGCCAGCCCGAGCTTGTAGCCTTTTGAGTCTAGCTTCTTTCATTTACTATAATGCATTTGAGATGCATCTGTGATCTTGGATGTATCAATAGATCATTCTTTATTGCTGAGGGATATTTCATTGTATGGTGTACTACAATTTTTTTATCCGTTCATCAGTTGAAGGACATTCAGGATGTGTAAAGCCAACATTATAACGGTTCACGTACAGGGTTTTGTGTAAACTTAAGCTTTCATTTCTCTTGGGGAAACACTTAGGAGTGGGACTGCTGGATCACCCGGTAACTGTATGTTTAACTTGTAAGAAACTGTAACCTGTCTTTCCAAAGTGGCTGCACAATTTTGCATTCCCGCTGGCAATGAATGAGAGTTCCTGCTGGGCCCCGTTCTTGTCAGCACTTCATATTGTTGGTGTTTTTTATTTTGGCCATTCTTTGTTGGAAAGACTCTCCTGTCTACATTGAAATTCCTTTGCAACTCTGTCAAAAAGCAATGGATTCTAGTGGTGTGAGTCTATGTCTGGGTTTTTTCTTATAGTCCATTAATATATGTGTATATCCTTTCACCAATACTACACTGTCTTGATTACTATAAGTCTGTAGTAAGCCTTAAAATCAGATGGTGTGTCTCCTCCAATTTCATTTCAAAATCATTTTGGTTTTTCCAGTCCCTTTGCCTTTGCACATAAATTTTAGAATCAGCTTGTCATGACCAACTCAGTAGTTCTACTGGAACATTAATAGGAATTGCATTGACTGTATAGATCAATTTGGGAAGAACTGACATCTTAATAATATGAAGTCTTCTAATCCATGAACATGGTAGTCATGCTATCGCTCTCCACTTATTTAGGTCGTCTTTGACTTCTTTTGCAGCATTCAGCTTTCAGATCCTGCAGATATTTTGTTAGATTTATGCCTGAGTATTTCTCCTTTTATTTTTGGTGCTATTGTAAATGACACTATTTTCAGGTTTTTTTTATTTCAGTTTGTTAGTGTGTAGAAGTCCCATGGATTTTTGCGTGTTTGTTCCTTTTGCTACCATCTAAGTTAGAATAATCCAGCGTTGGGGCTGACCCTTCTTTCCCTTGCTGGTCATCAGCAAATGATGAACAACTCCCTCAGGTCATTCCTGGTCATGATGCCCTCTGGGGGGTCACGAGACCTACAGACAAACTTCAGTATAAATCATACTAAGTTAGAGGGAAGGTCAGGCTGAATTATTAGTGTCTTTGATAGATTTAAAAAAGTAAAGCTTATATTTTCCATGTCCCCATAACAGTATGAATAGACCAAGTGTACAGCGATGTTCTTGCCAAGATGTGATCCTTCGATGTACTTCTAAACTGGCAAAGAGAGTTTCTTAAGTTTTCTTTGGCTGTTGGTGGATGGTATTAGTCTGTTCTTTCCCTCCTCCCGGCCCTCCCTTGTCATCCCTGCATCATTCTGCAAATATTTAGTGTACATTTACTGCCCCCACATACCCTTCTAGGAGTGGGCGGGTGCAAGAGGCTCGGCCTCCTGGAATTCCATTTTAAGGTGCTTACATACAGATATCATCAGTTGTGGGTTACCTTGGAATTTGAGTTAATAAGGTTTTATCAGTAGTGCTTTTCTTGACTAACCTAGAATGTTATTCCTATCATTCTGTTTTGTTTTGTTAAATGCAGTTAGTGCCTCAGATTTTTTGTTTTATGGCAGCTTGTGGAATTTCACTAATTGTACCAGCTTTTATTTCTAAAGTGTGGTTTCTTTTTAAAAAAAATTATAATACCAAAGGAAAACAACAAAGCTGTGAATATTTGTTTTGAAAATGAACTGTTTGGGGGAGGGGGTTAAATGAAGATCAATTAATAGCATAATGTAGCACCCCTGGGCTTCCTGTAATTAATTTGAGTATTAGTCTCACAAATCTTTCTCATCTGCCTGGGAAATTATTGATTCATAGAGATCACGCATGATATTTGGCTTCTGTTCGTGTGGACAGTGGAGCAGGAGTATCAGAGGTTATTGTAGGCTCCTGCCCGATTGTGCTCAGTTGGGAGGGAGTGTATGTACCAGTTTTGGTGGAGATGTGTGAAGTTTTGCATGTTTTTAATGTTTGATTTAAGGAGAGAAATAGCTAAAAGCATTGGAATCAGTGCCATTTGCTTAAAGGGCCCCTCCATGATCTTTCTGACCTTGGGAAATGCTCGTCTGTTCTTCTGAAGCCGTCCCCTCTCTCTGTTTCAGTGAAGCGCTACATCCGGAAAGGTGTTCCCCTCGAGCACCGGGCCCGCGTCTGGATGGGGGTGAGTGGAGCCCAGGCCCAGATGGACCGGAACCCTGGCTATTACCACCGACTTCTCCAAGGAGAGAGGAATGACAGCCTAGAGGAAGCCATCAGGACAGGTGACGTGCAGTGTCCGTCCCTCGGGTGGATGGCAGCCCAGGCAGGAGGAGGAGGAGGAGGAGGAGGAGGAGGAGGAGTGGACATTATTCCCCAAATTGTGTTTGCACCCAGTCTTTGAAGTGATGTTGATGAAGAAATGAACATTGTTAAAGATGCACCAACTGATATCAGTTTGAAATTATATTTTTCTCAAAGGAAAATCAAAACGTAAGCGTTCATGAGGGGAGGACATTGTCTTTAATTCATTCAGCAAATATTTGCGTTCCTAGCTAGCTAGTAAGGAAAATAAATGGTAATAGAAAGACTAGATTTCTTCCATGAAGAAGCCTTCAAGGAGGCCCGGCCGAGTGGCTCAGTTGGTTAAGAGCTCGCTCAAGAGTGCGAGCCCTGAGCAACAGGGTCGCTGGTTCGATTCCCGGCCCGAGCTGAGCTGCAGCTGAGCTGCCAACAGGTGGCAGGATGGCTCAGCTAAAAAAAAAAAAAAGAAACCTTCAAGGAAAGTGAGAAGGCCTCTGAGCAAGCAATCATAATACAGTAGGATAATTGCTGAAGGGATTTGTGCCTGACAGTAACACACGGGGACTTAAAGAGTCAGCTACCATGTGTCGTAAAGTCACACGCCAGAGTTTTCTTTCATGGTGTCGAACTCTAATAATTGTCTAGGGATGCTAGTATTTTTGGACTATAATTTATTTTTCCTCCAATTTCGTCATCACATAGGCTCACTGGCTTTTTTTTTTTTATTAAAGATTTTTATTGGGGAATTGGGGGGATGGGAACAGTGCTGGGGAGTTGGGGGAAGGGGAACAGACAAGTTGCTGTCGT